CGCCCCCGGGCCGTGAGGGCTCCGGCGGGCTCCGGCCCCCGGGAAAAGGGCATCGGCACGGCTCGGGAGGTTCAGCCCCCTCTGCAATAATGGTGACCGACTGCACGGCTAAGGGACTTGAAAGATGGTATTGGACGCCAGCCACAGTCAGCTTTTTAACTTAGATTGCCGTTATTTCAATCTCCCGTTTAACAACACGTTGTTGACAGCCGAACGTTTGCGTCTCTAGGATAGCCCTGGAGAGGCTGCTGCCCAGATATGGGAACAGAGAGGACGGTAAATAGCTTTTTACTAAGAATTTGCAGTATGTCTGGTGACATGAGATGCTGGGCCCATGGGTCGGAGCAGATCTCTCTCTGTCCGTATGTCAACTCATGAACCATATATTTTCTCCCCACTTTACATTCATGGAGGGGACAGACAGGCTTCGGTTGAGCCTGGTATCCAGCCAGGGTCATTCCATGACAGGGAAGGAAAGGCAACGCTGATCAACGGAGGAGCAAGGTAAAGAAAGGCAAGGTAAGGGGTAAGCCAAGTCAAGACAGTTGCATTGTATAGAAGGTTATGATTCAGGTTACACAGGTATAGAAAGTTGCGATTCAGGTTATACTGGTATCTTACAACTCAAGCTATACAAGCATCTTGAAACTTTGACCCAAGTGATGGAGGTATGACCTGTCTGATCTCCCTTGCCCTCGCCGTGCGCTCCGTTCAGAGCCGGGCCCACACGGGCCCGCCTTGGGTGTGCACACAGCGCCACCTGGTGGAGCTTCTGAGCCACGGCGGGAGCGAGAGGGCCACAAGGTGACGCTGTGCACCGACAGACATGGCACTGTCCCCTTTGGCGGCGTCTTCAATTTCTAGCTTTTATATCTTCCAGATGCTGTACTGCGTTAGTGTAGGACTCTGAACTCCGTATAGAGTGTTAGCAAGCTCTCTTCACATTTTGGTCACACAAAACAATCCTTCCAAGCCTGAGAACTAAAGACATTCTTTGCCTCAGGCCCCAAAAAGTATAAACAAAAGTGAACTGGGGAGCAGGGAGCAAACTGGGCGTATGTGACTTCATTACCAGAAGTTGTAATTGGAAAATTAACCCCTGATATGCAAATAAACCAAACATATCTGTCTGACAAAGATATAAAACAAACTTATATCTGTCTGAAAGACTCAGATTTTAAGAAAGTTTTATTTTATTCCAGAATTCCCTTAGTTTTTGGGTTTCCCCTCCAATTTGGCATGTTCCACCCCAACTCCCCCAATTTAGAGGAGACACCCCTCATTAGCAGCCCCCATTAATGAGGCTGGGGGAGAGTGCTCTATGGGGGTAAAGGGGGAGCTGGACCCCCTTTGTGCTCCCCCCCCTCACCAAACCAATGTGGTTCAGACTAATTTCACAGAAATTTGGGGGCAATTTCATTGAAATCAGGAAAAATTAACATGGCGGGGGGAAATCCCCCAATATGGGGGTGTCCCCCCATCTGATATCCGGGAGTCCCCATCCCTCTGACGTCACTCGGCGGTGTGGGGGGCGCGGTGAGACCCCCGGCGGCTCCTCAGGAGGAGGCGGAGCTGTGGGGGAGAGAGGGTTCAGGGAGGTCCCCAAAACACGGGGTTCTGCCCCAGAATATGGGGATGTCACCCAAAGGTCCTGGAACGGGACCCCACGGTTTGGGGGGGTGGGGTTGTGAAAATGATGGGGTAGAGCAGCAGGATTTGGGGGGAAAGCATCAGGATTTTGGAGTACAACAGCAGAACTTCTGGGCATAGCAGCAGGGATCTGAGGCAAAATGGTGGGATTTTGGGGTTCCTGGTGCAATTCCAGTCATTTCCCCCTATCGGCAGGAAGTGGGGTGCTGGGTGTGAGGGTGGTCTGGGGGTCTCACCTGGTCTCCAGGGGACCCAGGGGGCAGCAGGCCCTGGGGCAGGTCGTGCTCCAGGTTGCGGGCGCTGGGGTCAGCACCCCAGGCCAGGAGCAGCCTCACAAGGGGCTCCTGGCTGGGGGTGCCAGGTAGTGCTGCTGCCATGTGCAGAGGGGTGTTCCCATGGGCCTGTGGGACGTGAGGGGGCTCAGGGTACCCACAAGTCACCCTGCAGCCCCCGTAGAGGTACCTCAGAGACCCCTGAGATCTGATACCAATACCTCCAGCCCCTACAGATTCCCCACAGACACCCCAAAGCCACCAGTACCCTCTTGATCCCTCTGAACCTCCCAGAGCCTCTTCATACCCCGCAAGCCATTAGAGGAACCCCAAAGAGCTCCACAGACCCCTCCAATGAGCCCCAAGAGCCCCACAGAGGTCCCCCGACCCTAGGTGCCCAACAAAGCCTTAGGGGGAACCCAGAGCCCCCCACAGAGCTCCTCAGAGCTCCCCCCAGCCCCACAAGTCCCTCAAACCTTCATGTTGACAAGGCGGGGGGCCATGCCAGGCTGACGCAGCAGTAGGTGGGCGAGGGCGAGGTTGCCTCCCCGCACGGCCAGGTGCAGCGCTGTCAGGCTGCTTTTGGTGTCCTGGAGGCAAGACAGCAGTTGGGGGGCAGTCCACAGGAGGTCCCACCCTGCTACAACCTCCTCAACCTCCCCAAAAGGACCCCAAGAGATCCCAGTGCCCAGGAGCACAGGTCTATCCAGCCCATGGAGACCTTGAAGGGAGACACAGGGGTCTTTGGTGGGCACACAGGTGTAGTGGGGGGTCTCACACTCCTCCCCAGTCCTCCCAAGGTACCCCAATGGCCAGGAGCTCAGGTCTGCCCAGCACACAGAGACCTTGAGGTGGGACACAGTCATCTTTGAGGGACACAGAGGTCTGTGTGGGGAACTCAGGGGATCTGAGGGACACCTGCAGAGTTATGGGGTACCTGGAGGTCCTTGGGGGGTCTGTACCTGGCTGCTGCTGTCCGCCCCCATCTGCAGTAGCAGCTCAACACAGCGGAATCGGTCCTGGGGAGTGGGGGATCCATCTCCAGAGCTCCCTGTGGGGGTGTGCCCACCCTGCAGCGAGGCGTTGTGGGCCAGGACGGCACAGTGCAGAGGGGTCTGGCCTTGGGGGGGGAACAAAGAGGGGTAAGGAAGGTCCCCTCCCCCAAACAGGGCCTCCTGGAACTAGGAACCCTCCTAGGGATACCCTCAAAGTACAGACACACCCCCTGGGACCCTCCCACCATCAACCAGGACCCCCAAACTGAAGATCTCCCATCACCCCAAAACAGTGATGCACCTATTAGGAATCCCACCAAGATTCCAAAATCCCAACAGCTACCACAAAATGGGGATCTCCAGGGTCACCTTCAAACCAGGGACCTCCAAGCCCCTTCTGTTTTGAGTACACCTCAAGTGGGACTCTCCCAAGACATCCTGAAACAGGGGACTCGTCAGATACCCCAAATCAGGGACCCCTGAGTCCCCCACCCCCTCCATTTGGGGGTCCACCAATTGATCTCTCCCCGGCCCCATCCAAACAAGGACTGACCAAGAATCATCCCCATCCCAAAACCAAGGACCTGCCCCAATCCCCTCCACCACCCTTGCCCCCACCAAATTCGCTGACCCTCAAAATTTCTGGCCTCCACGTTGACAGGAACTCCCGAGGACATCATGGCCTGAGAAGGCGAGGGAAAAGATTTGGGGTCCCCCTGGACACCACAGGCCCACCGCTAGGCCAGTTCCCTGGTCTCCCAGGACAACTGTGTCCCTTCTGGACCCATTTTGGGGTCCTCTTTGGGAGGGTTTTGTGGTCCCCACGGTTTCCCAGTCCTCTTGGGGGTTGGGGTCTCACCTGGAGGATTTCAGGGTGCCCATAGGCCGCAGCCAGGTGCAGGGCCGTGCGGCCCCTGTGGTCAGCGGCATCAGGATTGGCCCCCAGGACAAGCAGGTCCCGCACGATCTCTGGGGCTGCTGCTGCTGCTGCCACCAGCAGTGGAGTCTGGGGGGTAAAATGGGGGCGGTCAGAGAGAGAATGAAGGGGGAGTCAAGGGGGCTTGACTGACTCCTGAGGGGAGTTAGATGTCTAGGAGGTAAAGGAGTCTGGGGGCTCTTGCAGGGAAAAAGGGAGGTCAGTGGGATCTGGGGGAATCAGAGGTGGTTGGGGTGCACCCACCCCGAACCCTCCAGTTGCCACCTCGGTATTCTGCTCTGCCCCCCTTATCATCCCCTTATCATCTGCTCATTCATTATTTATTATTAATTGCCCCTTTATTTGTCTCTAATTACACCATCACTAATCACCTATTACCCCCGGTATTAACTATCCCTTTATCCTCCATCACTCCCCCTGTTATTGGGCTGCAACAGAACTGCGTGATTCATTATCCCAGAATTAACTACCCCATGCTATTATCAATTACCCCCTTAACCCCCGATCTGTTATTGCCTTCTTACCCCCATCACCCCCTTATTGCCCCAGTAAGACCCACTTATTACCCCTATAAACCCTTCTTTACCCCCAATGCCCTCAACTTCCCTAGGTGTTCTTGCACTTCTAGCTTCCCCTGTCCCCACCCAACTTGTCTAGGTGCTCCTGCACCTTGATGTCCTCCAGACGCCCCCTCAGGCCGCCCAGGTGTGTCCCCCTCTCACCTTGCCCAGGTGCTCCCGCACCTCGAGTCCCCCTAGGTCTCGCAGAGCCTCGGCTGCAGCCCGGGCGAGTGCCCACAGCCCCCCGGCACAGAGTATGTGCAGCAGCCTGGGGATGGAGGGGGGGTTAGAGGGGACCCCTCTACCTGCCCCCCATGTTCCACCCAGAACACAGACATCCCCCAAAGGGCTTGTCACCCCACAGCCCCTCGCAATGCCTCACAACTGCCCCTGGGGACTTCACAGCACTGCTCTTGCCCCACTGACTCCCTGATTGCCTCCCAATTGGCCTCACTGCCCTACACATTGATTCTCCTATTTATCCCACAGTGATCTCACCCACACTTACCCCATTTTATCCAATTGCCCCCCACTGAACACCACACTGACCTCCACTCACTCCGCTGCCCTTCCACTGCACCCCTATGGGCCCCACTGACGATCCTTCACATCACTGACCCCCTAAATTGCCCCCCGCATTGATGCCCCCCCTTTGTTCCAGTTTAGCCCATTGGCCTCTCCTGGACCCCTTGACCCCTGTACCCCCTTATGACCCCTGTACCCCTCAGTGCCCTCCCATGGCTCCCCCTACTCACGTGTCCCCCTCCTCGTCCTGTCGCAGCAGCTCCCGGGGATCTCGGCCCTCCATTGCAGCGCGGGCAGCTGCCAGTTCAGGGTACAGCTCTGGGTTCTCTCCTCCCAGCTGAGGGGCCCCAAATTCTCCCCACGGCACTGGGAGATGGGGCCAGGCAGGGCCAGGGATGGCAGCAGCCTTGGGGAAGCAGCAGTCAAAGTGGAGAGGGGCTTGGTCCCAGCCCCTCCAGGGCTCCAGGTGCCCCTCAAATCCTGCCCCAATGACCCCCCCATTTTCCTTCCCTTGCCCCCCAGCT